TTGATTCAGGGATAAGGGGTGTACCTGGAACTTAATTTGAGTCACCGGTCAGGAAGAAGTGAACATAGATTCTGATCCTGACATACACACCTATTTTCTAGTCCCCAAACCTGTCATTTTCATTTCCTTTTCTGTGTGGTGAGGTTGATAAGAACTTAAATATGAGTAGATTTCTTAAAAATCTATAGATTTTTAAGTGGTGTGGTTAACAAGACTTCTGACCCTAAGCTAGCTGGGCTGGGACCTGGTAAGCGAAGCCAGCATCAGGCTAGCCCACTGACTCTGCATGTCTCCCTCTAGAACACAAGCAGCTCCTTAAAAATGCACAGCTAGAACTGAAGAAGAGTAAGAGGAAAGATTACTACAAGATTCTGGGAGTGGACAAGAATGCCTCTGAGGATGAGATCAAGAAAGCGTATCGGAAACGGGCCTTGATGCACCATCCAGGTAGGGAGTGAAGGGGGCTCAGTGGGGAGAGCAAGCTAGACAGGCCCCCGCCTTACTCAGTCCAGAGTGAAAGCTTCGGAGAGTCTCTTCAGCTGCTTGTCAGTGTGATAAATTCCAGGCCCTCCACATTTCAGCAATCAACCAAATTCTACTCAGACGTGAAATGGTCTTTCTCTTAAATTTTGTTTTCTTGAGATTCTGAGTTCTTCCTATATACCTCCCTCTAGATCGACACAGTGGAGCCAGTGCTGAAGTTCAGAAGGAGGAGGAAAAAAAGTTCAAAGAAGTTGGAGAAGCTTTTACCATCCTCTCTGATCCCAAGAAAAAGACTCGCTATGACAGTGGACAGGATCTGGATGAGGAGGGCATGAATATGGGCGGTGAGTTGGTTGGGGCAGCCTGGGATAAATCTGACTAATGTGGAGTGTTAGAAGTTTTCCTGAAGACATTCCAGAGGGAGAGTCTAATTCCAGTGGTTAGGAAGCTACCTCCATTGATGGAGACCCAAAATGTGTGAGACCCCTTGACTGCTAGAAATAACAGAGATGGATAAAATAGGTGCCCCAACCTCCAGGAATCCATTGTCTAGGGGTTTGCAAATTCCAGCCCACACGCCAAACCTGGCATGAAATCCATTGAGTACCACAAATGTAGCAGGTGCCCAGGCTGCAGAGAGGGCACTGAGGCGACAATCACTGGCAAAGGAAGGTTTGGAAGTAAAGAGCACATTCGGGATCTTTGAAGGACTCAAAGTGCAGAGGTTGGTAGAAGCAGGCAGTGGTGAGAGAGGAAGCCAGAAGGTAGCTGGTCAGACCTCAGAAGGTCTTAGAGGCTATTGGAAGGAATATGGGCTTTTTCTCTTGACTGGGAGTTCTTTTTTTCTTCCATTGCAAAGTCTATACTGACTGACATTTATTTATGTCACACATTTCTGTAGGTCCTCACAAATTTTAGTTTCCCCAGAGACTTATAAGGAAGTAGAGGAGAGCTGTTAATGTCTTTGCTCACTGTGAGCTCAGTCAGAAATGAAAGGCCCCCTTGGGCCTCCCCGGTGGCGCAGCGGTTGAGCGCTGGGTTGCGAGGCTGCCCGCAGCCTCTGCAGCGCCGGTTCGATCCCTGGCTGCTCCCCGGCCACCAGAGGAGGGTCCCACATGGCGCACAGACCTCTCCTGCCGCCCGCTGCTCCCCTCAGCAGTGTACTTCGGTCCTCTGCCTGCTCTGCTCCCCGCTCTGGCTCTGGTGAATTCTCTCACCCTCCCGCGCTTCTGACTGTACCCAGTGCTTGTATAAATAAATAAATGAATCTTTAAAAAAAAAAAAAAAGAAATGAAAGGCCCTGAACTGTGCTAAGTTCTCCTACCACTATCTGATGGCAGCCTTTTCTCCTCCACTGTGAAAATCTATTGGAATTTAAAATAAGATGGATGGGGCCTCCCTGGTGGCGCAGCGGGTTGAGCGCAGCACTGAAGCTGTCCACAGCCTCTGCAGCATGGGTTCGATTCCTGGCCAGCCAGGGAGATACCCACATGGCGCAGCAGACCTCTCCTATCTTGCCCACTGCTCCCCTCAGCAGTGCTTTCAGTCCATCTGCCTGATCTGCTCCCCACTCTGTCTCTGGTGAATCATCCCACCCTCCCACGCCTCTGGCCTGTACCCCAGCTATTTGTATAAATAAAAAATCTTTCGGGCCTCCCCTGGTGGCGTAGGCGGTTCAGTGCTGGGCTGTGAAGCTGCCCACAGCCTCTGCAGTGCCTGTTTGATCCCTGACCACCAGCGAGGGTCTCACATGGCGCACAGACCTCTCCTGCCGCCCGCTGCTCCCCTCAGCAGTGTATTTCATCAGTCTGCCTATTCTGTTCCCCGCTCTGGCTCTGGTGAATTCTCTCACCCTCCTGCACTTCTGACTGTACCCAGTGCTTATATAAATAAATAAATAAATCATAAATAAATAAATAAATAAATAAATAAATAATACATCTTTAAGAAAAAAAGTTGACCTATCCTAAATATTTTAAAAAAATAATAAAATTTTAAAATAAAGTAAGATGGATGATGTTACAGTTATCCCTGACATCTCCACTGCTCTGCCTCGCAGTTGAGAACAGCTATAAGCAATCAAAAGTAGAAATTGAGGGCCTCCTTGGTGGTACAGGGGTTAAAGTCTCAGTGCTGTCAAGCTATTTCCAACCATTGCAACATAGGTTCAATCCCCAGCCATGGAGTTAACCCACATGTTATAGCAGACCTCTCCTGTCTCACCTGCTGCTCCCCTCAGCAGTGTATTTCAGTCAGTCTGCCTGTTCTGTTCCCCACTCTGTCTCTGGTGAATCCTCTCACTCCCCCCCGCCCCACACTCTCACATCCCACCACCACCTCTGACCTATACCACAGTTCTTGTATGCATAAATAAATACAATAAATCTTTTAAAAATTTTTTAATTAAAATAATTGAGACATTAAGGGATCTAGGGACCAGATTTAGACTCTGGAAATTTATTTGTGATGGCCATGAGGAAAGGTGGTTTGAAAGGGATGAAGGGAAGACAAAAGATAGGAGAGGATTGGAGGGTATAACTGGGAGACTTGGCTGCTGCATGTGTTTGGAGAGGGAAAGGGCTAAGTTGAGAGAGACAGAGTTGACCCTGGGGACATTGACTGAGCTAGTGACTCCAGGAAGATGAGCTGATGCAAAGACCTTTTGGACACTGTGTGCCCGTGGAATCCACTGGTGGTTAGCTTAGTGGGTCAGGAGGGCTGGAGACAGCAGACCTGCCACAGCCCGGGGAAGTGCACAGTGCTGTAGATACACAGGAGCTGTATGACCTTAGGCAAGTTCCTTGTGCTCCCTACTTCTGTTTTGTGGGTTTTTTTAAAGATTTATTTATTTATGCATACAAGAATAGGGGTACAGACCAGAGGCATGGAGGGCGAGAGGATTCACCAGAGACAGAGTGGGGAGCAGAACAAGCAGTGACTGAAATACACTGCTGAGGGGAGCAGCGGGCGAGACAGGAGAGGTCTGCTGCACCATGTGGGTACCAGGACGGCCAGGGATCAAACTCCTGCTGCAGTGGCTGCAGATTGCTTCATAGGTTGCGTCTTAATCCCTTGAGCCACCAGGGAGGCCCTCCCTACTTCTGTTTTGTTGAGTATAAATTGGAAATAATATCCAGACAAACTGTTACTAGGATTGAATGATAAAATGTGTACAAAGTTTACCCAGCACCACTGGTACCCACTAGGTGCTTAATAAATCTGGAGCTTTTTCCCTGCATACAGTCTAGAAATCAAACAAAATTAATCCTAGGTCTGATTCTCTAGTTGATGCATTTTAGCCTTTCCAGTAGCAGCTGCAGCATTAAAGCGACAGAATGTGGGGAAGTCTTTTGTCATTAACTGCAGATGGCAGTCCCAGCCAGGTGGGTTGAGGCAAAGAAGATTTTCCTTTGGGATTGCACTTGGAAGGCGGGAATAGGTCCTAGGAATAAGAGCAAGTGGTGAGTTTGGCATAGGTCTGGGCAGACCTGCTTACTTCTAATGTGAGGTTTCGGGTAAGAAGGGCGGGAATACTATGGGAAGATGTTGAGAGCCACTCTCAGTGTCATGGTAAGTTCCTTTTCTAACACTTCTCGTTTTCTCATTCTTTTGTCCCTTCCCTGTTTCTCCACATGCTCCACAGATTTTGATGCAAACAATATCTTCAAGGCATTCTTTGGTGGTCCCGGGGGCTTCAGCTTTGAAGGTACGTGTGGCTACTGTTAGGAGTTCCCAGGCCCTAGCCACGCAGCAACTCCCCAATAAGAATCAGAGTGGAGGACCCTTGAGTGGAGGCAGCTGAGTTCTCATCTAGCACGGCACCTGCCCACTGTGTGCTGCTGAGGGTGGCGGAAGAGAGGCTCCTGGGCACACTTTTCCAGGTTTGGGGGTGTCACTAAGCTGCCTAGCGTCAGGGCTTCTCTGCAGGGGTGAAGGCATTGGAAGTCACATGCCGCATGCACTGCCCCTCTGCCACCCCAGGGCCAATGCTGTTTGACACCCTTAGAAGTTTTTCCCTGAGTTTGAAGCAGCGATTGAAGACTTTTCCATAGCCAGAGCAAAGTGACCTTCCCTAGAAAACCCACAGAGCCTATGAACAAGCCTTTCTTTTCCTTTACAGCATCTGGTCCAGGAAATTTCTTTTTTCAGTTTGGCTAATGAAAGGAAGTCATCCAGAACCCAGAAAATGCAAACTTGCTCAGTTTAACCTTGAATGTGGACACAATTCACCTCCTCCCTTCATCATGTCTCCATGTACTTAGAGCAGTTTTGTTTCCTCAGTTGGATCCCCTGTGTCCGTGTGAGTGGGGTGAAGGAAAGGGAGCCAGCACCTAAGACTGCGGGAAGGGGAGGGAGGTGGGTGGTGGACAGGGAAGCAGCTTGTGAATTTTTGTTTTACTGTTTAACTTTATTAAAAAAGAAAAAAATTAAGAGAATAAACGGGTTTGACCCTTTCTGGAACTTTGCTCTGGCAGCTGCTTTGTGTCAATTCAGAGTCAGCGAGCCAGAGCTGAGCCCCCAGCATGGAATGGATGCTGACTTGAACTTCACGCTCAGCGAGCTGCTCCCCAAGGGGTGTGGGCCCCAGAAGCTGTTGGCAAGTGGGTGCTTGCTGCCACTGCCAAACCTGTCGAGCATGTGTGTGCTGAGCAGGCCTGGGAGTGCTGCTGTGCCAAGCTTGGGCAGTCATGGGAGTCATCAGAAAAGTTGCTGATCTTATGGTGAGGCCACCAGAAATCATAGAAGCCTCGTGTCCAGAGCTCACACAGGGTGTAAGTGTCTGCTCACTGCCAGGCTGGGCTGACCTAGGAGATTATCACAGGTTTGCATGGTTCCTGTTGCCAGTAGAGTCTGGAGGAAGCTGAAGCCAGGGATAAATCCTGCCTCCCTGATACCCAGACCCTCACCAGGTGTGGGCTATCACTAACATTGATTCAGATAGTGGGTCACTCACATTCTTAGCAAGTGCTCCCTGCCTTCTCCAGTGGTTGCCCTTTCTGCCTGGGAGGCCAGCTGGGGAGAAAAACAGTGTCATCTGTCATGCTGTTTAAGTCAAACTTAGTATATTCATGGTGAGTAATCTTAGGGTTTCCTGGCAGACAGAGGCTTTGACTTTTGGTGCTTTGGTAGTAGATGTGGCCAGTGAAAGACCTTCAATCAATCCTAAATAGTTAGGATTAGATAAGAAAGGATTACCTTTCTTTCCAGACTTCCCCCTTAGTGCCAAGGTCAGGATGAAATGATTGAGTCAGCCTATAAGTTCCCCCTATAGCCATTCAAGTGCCTGTTGTGCCTGGAAGAGATTCAAATGTCAGGTCTTCCCATGTTTGAAGTAGCACTGAGCAAGGGGAGCCTGCCTTAGGGATTTTGGGGAACCCAACTAAGAACTTTGGGTCTTACTGAGAAGCCTTGAGTTGGATTAGGCTTTGGCATACCTGCCAAAGCTGTCACGCTTAATGGGGTGACAGCAGGCCCTGTGCTGTATAGCCCTCTACCCAGCCAACCCCCACTTTCTGTGTGCACCCTAGGCCAACCTCTCCTTTCTGCCTGCTCATGAAAGCCAGCACTGTTCAGCTGCCCAGCCTCACCACAGCTGTGCCCAGCCAGCAGAGGGGAGACAGGACCGATGGCCCCAAGCTGTGGGACAAAGCCAGTCCTAATACACCCAGCCCTTGCCCCAGGAAGACTGAGCTGGGCACAGAAGGGTGAGAGAGACGGCACACGGCTCGGATTAACATGATTTATTTCATTATCAGTCTTACAAGTTGCTGAGGTTGGGCAAAGCCAGGATAGTAACTTAAATCCCAAGCACTTTTGTCTAGTGACAACCTGATTAGCAAGGTCCTGTTACTGAGCAGAGGCGAGTGGAGGGCACCCCAGGAATCACAGCACATGTAGCAGTGTTAACCCCTTCCAGAGGCACCGGGAGGGGCTTGGCCCTTAACAGCAGGAGTCTGCTGCATTGGCTCTTGGTACCCACCAACCCCCTTTAGAGGAGGCACAGAGGCCCCCAGAGGCACCGAGGAGGCAAGATGGGCCGGACAGACAGCAAGACTGGAGCTTCCCCACCGAGGTCCTGTCTCTGGCCTCGATCTCCCATCCACATGGCCAGACCACTGGGAAGGATGGCCAGGGCAAGGCCAGTAGCCAGCCTGGATACGGCTGCTTCTTACTGTTTTCTTCCCTAGTTACCAGACTGTTACCTAGTTACAGTGTGAAAGCAGGGACAGGCACTTTGGACCAAAGGTGGGAGGTAACCCCCTTTTTCTACCCTGATAAGTAGCCCCGGCCTTCTTGGGGCTGTACTGATTAAGAAATGGGATCAAAGCCCAGGGATCCTCCCTCTCAAGCCCACACTAGTTTCCCACAGCTGTCCTGCCCGCCCTGGGGGTCCATGCAGCTTTGGATAGGGCCGTGGACAGGGCAGGAGCTGGGGCACCAGTAACTGGAAGCAGGGCTGGGTTGTGGCTGCAGCGCCAGGCCCATTCGGCCCAGCCTCATCAGCTTTGGTCCAGGTTCCTGAATGTTGCCTACCCACAACCCCCTGCTTGTGTTGACAACTTGAGTGTTAGAGGGGAAACAGTGGGTAGGAAAAGGGCAGTTATTTTACACATTTTTAAAAAGTTACAGGAAGGTTAACTTTGAGTAAAAAAAAAAAAATCAGATGAAGCTGGGGGCACGTCCCCCTCCTCCCCCTTCCCTTCTAAAGATCGAGGGGCACATGGCAGTGAGGGCACTCAGATGATGGTGCAGGACTGCATGGCACGGCCTTTCTGGGCACTGTGTGTGGACACAGGCTTGCCCTTCCCATAGTACCCTGTGAAGATGGTCTTGAGCTCCATCTTCTTGGCCAGGTTCAGCATCCAGCGCCCACTGCCCAAGTTGTAGAGCCTGCCCCGGCTTAGCTCACCCACCTCCTCGCCTCGGTTGCCCCCCTTCTCCTGCCGCACAATATCTAGGAGGTCAAGGCCTGTCTGCACGGCCTCCACATCACCGGCGCAGCCAAGGGTGATGTGGGCGCGGCTGCCCCGGGGCAGGTTGTCAGAGGGGACCACCGTGTCCACGTCACTTGGCCACAAGGGCAGCTCCTGCTCACTCAGCTCTACCCGGGCTCCAGCTGTCTTGGGTGTCACAAAGAGGGCAGAGATGGTCAGCGTGAAGGCCTTGCAGTAAGATTTCTTCACCACCTACGGAGGGTGAGAATGAATGAGAGGACTGAGCTAGAGGTGGTGGCCTCCGGGGAGGGACAGCGAGATAGGGTGGGGCGGGCAGAGGCCAGCAGGACTGAGCAGTGCTTGTAAAGGCCTCTCATCCAGACACTGCCACTCAGCCTGAGTGTGTCTCTGAAGAACGTGTCCATGGACAGTGTTCAGGCGAATGAGAGGAACACCGAGGGGCCAGAAAAGCAGGGGCTAAACAGACTTCCTGAGTTCGGAACCCAGCTCCCCATCCTAGGGGCTGCAGGGCCTGGAGCAAGTGCCTCTGTGAGTTGGCTTATTCACCTGTCAAGAGGGATGATATGAAAACCTACCTCGAGGTGGGGGAAGGGGGGAAGGATGGGGTGAGGAGCTTAGACCAGTGTCGGGCATAGAACAGGCGACTGTCACTACTGGGCTCACGACTGTTGCTAGCCAGGCAACATCCTGGAAGCCAGGACGAGGCCAGAGATAAATGCCCTTGATCCACATCTCCCAGCACCTGGTTGGCAGCTGATTATATCTGGGTGTAGCTGGTTCTCTGGGAAAGCTCATCCCTCTCATCTGACATAAAAGCTGCTCTATTTCTGCTCAGCCCCAACAGTGTGTAGCACGTAACGGGTGCTGACTAAGTACTGCCAAGTGAATGGATGGTTAGAGACCATAGTGGAAGGCCTTGGTCATGCACCTATGCCTGGTGCTAGAGGTACTCTATGGTGTGCCAGTCAAAACACCCCAGGGAGTTTCCATGGGAGGGGGAGGGGACTGACCAATGAGCAAGGGAAGGGGGAGGAGGGTGAAGGGCCAGGGAAGGGGTTAAAGGGTTTAAAGATCAACAAGTAAGAGGCTGAGGGTGGAGGACACAAGTTGTGTGGTGGGGTCTGTCTGGTACCCCTAAGCCAGTAAGCCTTGCTATCCCACGACAGTCCCCATTCTGGGGCAAGGCCAGGTCTCGGACCTGGGGCAAGGACCTCAGAGCTCCAGGGCCCCACAGCTACATGTGAATGCGGGCTCAGACAGCCAGAGCAGGAGCCTGCTGCCAACCAGCGTTCTCCATGATCTGCAGAAGGAAAAGGCACTGAGGGGCAGGAGGCCAGCACAGGCGGGCGGTACTGCCAGGTGGGCTCCCTAGAAAGGCACCTGAGGTCGGCCCTCACACCTGTGAAGGGGCCAGCTGGAGCAGGAGGCGCCATCCTTCTTGAGCTGCTGTTTGGTTTCTGGTCCTCATCTCCGGAGCCCTTCCCTCTCCCTACCTCAGCGGGGTACCCCTGGGGAGCACTCACATCCTGCTGGGCATACTCCTCTGCCCCAGGAGCCTTCCCGTAGTTGCAGAACTTGGTGGTGCAGTGCAGCACACCCGGGGGTCTCTTCCCGAAGTAGGTGACCAGATCAATCTTCTCCCTGGACTCATCGCCAGGGACAACTGCAGGGAGAGAGTGTGCGGCGGTCAGGGCGGGAGAGCAGGGCCATGGGCCCGGTTCCTCCAGGGCCTTCCTGACATCGACCACCAACACCGTGGGGACCCAGAGGAAAAAAATCGGACCTCAAGCCTAAACTTTGTGCAATCCACTATCGTTCACTCATTGGTCAAACTAACAGCAACTTTGGAGCTATGAAAAAGTACTTTCACTCCCTGGTTTCGGGCTTGAAAAGCAAGGCACTTGGCACTTGTACCCCAGGGTTAGACAGGAGAGGCCAAGGGTAACTGAGGTTCACAGTATCACATCTGGTGGGGGAGGCAAGTCAGGAGAGGTGGAGGAGGAACAAGGCAGGCTGGGGAGCGCGCGGTACAACGGGAGGAGGCAGAAAGTGCTTCACTAACATCCCGGCCCACTTACTGGCCCTTTGGCAGGTCACGGACCCTTAACTGTCCATCCAGTACAAGTTAGGGCAGCCCCCCCAATTTTCCCACCACCACTCCAGGAGCTATCAGTAGCACCCCCCCTCACTCGTCCACTTGGACAGGGAGTCACCTGGTCACCATAACATACCCCCTGCCAGCTGGCTTGGCAGATGAGAACCTGGCCTGGTACGGGAGGGCTCTTGGGAGCTACTAGCATGTAGCTGCTTTGGCGTTTCTGTGTCCAGACTTGTGGTCCCCATGCCTAGGTCTGCCCTTCACTGTTTCTCCTCCTTCCCAGAATTGAGCCCCTGCAAGGATGTCTCCAGCTTCTGCAGAGCAGGGGAACCTCTACCCTAGAGCGGCCTTGCTACGTGCCGGGAGGAGGAGTCCAGGTTTAACAGTGAAAAGCAGCTGACAAGAGGCGCCAGCTCTAACCGGGAAGGCTGCCTCTGGGGTACTTTTCTCTCACGCTGTTTGCAGGGACAGGGCTCAAGCCTGGCCAGGCCACGGCCAGCACGTGGTTCCGTGGCTTCCAGAGACCCAGCTTTAGGAGCTGAGGAAGTCCTCTGGGGACCCATAAGAGGTACAAATTAGCTGCCTCTGAGCAAAACAAGGGAACATGGGTGGGAATGTGAACGTGAAGATCACCTGGAATTGGAGGGAACTAGAAATGGGTTAAAGTGTAGCTGGGTCTCCAATAGGGAGAAAGGCCACGGGGGTGGTCCTCCATGTCCAGAGAGCCCCGGTCCCGCCCAGGACAGGGAGGCCTCTGCTGCTGGAGTCGGCAGCACCCAGGGCTCTCACTCTGACTTTGGGCAAACCCCACATCCCTTCTGGAGTTTTCTCATCTGCAAAAGAGGGGGTTGGACCAGGCGTGAGACCCGCATTCTGGAGCCACAGGATGCCCTGAGATGGCCAAAGTCTGGCAACCATCCCCAGTGAAGTCACAATAGCCCCCTCTTATAATTTTTTGGCAACCTACTGCTATACCGGGGTCAGGGGTCTAGACCAAGGCAGGGAGAGGAGAGAAGAGGGCAGGAGGAGTGAGATGGGAGCTGCTCTGGGAAACGCCTCTCCCCTACCCCAGGGGCTTGCGCTAGCAGCCCCCTCCCGCCTGTACCAGGGCACCTCCCCAGGCTTCCCCACACAGCTCCCGGGGCCTTGGAAGACGGGCCCATGCGCGCAGCCCCTGCGGCCAGCCAGGGGCCGTGAGTGTGGCTGACCGCCCCCAGACCGCCACCTACAGTGTCGGAGCTCCTTCCTGAACGCCTTGTGGTTGCCCAGCTCGGACAGGAAGGCCTGGCCAGCTTTGCGGAGGTTCTCGGAACTCTTCCTGGTCAAGAACCAGCCGAAGAAGAGCGGCTGGATGTCTTTCTCCAGCCCAGGCTTCAGCTTCTTCAGGTCGTCGACCGACAGGTGCCACTGGTTCTTCTCCTTGAGCTGGGCATAGTCCAGCCGCCACGGCGTCTTGGGCTCCACCATCACCACCTGGTACTGGTACTGGTCGGCCATTTCAAAGAGCTGCTCCAGCCGCTCCCGCTCGTGGTTGGTGTCGTCCAGCACAATGATGCGGGCGTCCCGGCGGCAGTAGGCAGCCAGCTCCTCGTCCAGCTGCTTGTACTGCTGCGAGAAGTCCCCCCGAGCGCCAGGGGTGATCTTGTAGTCGTCGGCGGACACCAGCTTGGTGCCGTCGTGGTACCTGCTCACGATGGCCCGGGCCAGTGTGGTCTTGCCGCTCCCTGGCAGGCCGCGCAGGATGAACATCGTCTTGCACTCATGCAGCGTGGCCACCGTCTCCTCATCCTGCAGGAAGGAAAACTGCAGCTCGGGCTTATCCTTGGTCCCCGAGGATGACATTTTGCGGAAGAAGATCTTGGGCAGGAATGTGTGGCTCTTCCGGGAGAAGCCTCTGTTCTGTGTGAGGAGAAGAGCAGAAGTCAGCCAGGTCACTTGGGCCCACCCCGCTGTGCCCCTTGTCTCTGCCCTTGTTTTAACCCGGGACCCCTGGCTCGGGGTTCCCCAGTCAGACCAACAGGCACCCCGGTGTAGTGGCAGCTTCCCCAATGGCAGGGAGTATGTACCTGTCTGCTCCTGGAGGTGCAGGGTGGAGGGAAGCGCCCCTGAGCTTTCTCCTAAACCACCTGCCGCTAGTCAGGGCCCAAGCCTCAAGGCCCACCCCCTGCTGCGGCTGCTAAAATTTTAGGACAATACGTGTGCAGGGGAGGCCCGAAGGCTGGCCCTAGGAGCTGATCCTCGATGTTATATTCCTGACACTGACCACGGAGGACCTCTGGAGGTGGGGGTCTCTGTGTCTGGGCAAAGCCACAGCTGCCCTGGCTCTGAATGTGCAGAAATGGGAGGAGGTGGGGAAGGGTTACCCAGAGACCGCCTCCCTTCCCCCAACAATGGCAGCCAGGGATAATACTCTCTTGTCTGGGATGGGGGGACAATGGTCTCACAGAAGGGCTGATGGGGGCAGGGCAGGAGAGCTCTGGACAACGGGTCCCATTCAACGCGCCTGCACCTCCTCCTCTGCACTCGCCCCCACAAAGTCGGGGTCTCTGTGCCTGCCCCAGGACTGGGCGGCACAGGACACCTGCAACCAGGGCCCAGCCCACACTCTGCTGTGCGTCTCTGCAGCACCTCTCAGCCCCTTTTTTCGTGCCTGCTGAAACCCACAAGTGACAAGTTTCACCGGAACCCTTCTCTAACATGGCGCCACCTCCGCCAGCGCCTCGAGTCAGGCCGGCTCGCAGATCCCTACCCCTCGGCCCGGGGCGGCGAGGGCCGTGCGCCAGCTCTGCCCGAGCGGGGTGGCAGCTGCACGGGCTCCTCCCGGGCGCTGGGCCCCGCGTCTTGGGGTCCGCAGAGGCGGCAGATTCCGCAGCTCCAGACCCCTGCCTCCTCCAGGGCCCTCCCCGCGCCCCCACTGCCCCCGCCTCTCCCCCGCCTCGGGCTGCAGAGAGAGTCTCCACTGCGCGCCCGCCGGGGCCTCGCTCCTCATTCGCAAGCCACCGCCCTTCCCAAACCCCCGGCGCTCTCTTCTCCCGTGAAGCGGCCACCCCGCGCCCGGCTCGCGCCCTCCCTCCCCGGCCGGGCCGCGCCCGCTCACCATGATGAGGGGCTCCGCGTCGCAGGCTCGCGCTCTCCGGGGCCGCCCGCCTGCGCGGAGGGACTCGGAGCCCAGCGGTGGCGCGAAGCGCGGCCGCCCGCCTTACATAGCCCGGGGGCGGGGCGCCAGGGGGGCCGCGGGGGGCCGCGACCCAGCCCGCGCGGCGCAGGCGCGGGAAACCGAAACTGACGCGCGGCCCCGCGGTGCCACGCGCCCGCCACCTGCCCGGCCGCACGCCGGTGCCCGCCGCCCACCTGTGCCCGCGGCGCCGCGGCGCGCGCAGAGCCGGCAGGAGCGAGCTGCCCCTCTTCTCCTGCCCCGGGCTGGGTTAGGGTGAGGCCAGGGAGACAGGGTCGTGCAAGTGCAAGGTCAGAGCCTGTCCTTTGTTTCCATTTTGGATATTTGACTCATTGGGGCTTTTCGCAGGTATTTTGATTTTTTTCCCCAACATTGCACTAAAATACTGATTATTTTGCTGCGTCGGGGGCTCCCTGGGAAATGGAAAAATGAAGTCCCCATCACCCCCTGCCCCTCAACTCATCCTCTGAAGCAGTTGCTCAGCCACCACCTCCTCCCTGATTCACAGGTGGGTGAGATTTTCAGCACCCTCTGTGTACCAAGTGCTGCCTAAACACTCATAAACCTCACCACAACCCTGAAGATACTTCCCCATTCTACAGAAGAGAAAACCAGCTTGGGGAGCCCCAAGCTTGACTGTACCCCAAAAGGGAAATCTGGGGGCCACTCATCCCAGGCTCTTGGGCAGAAGAAGCATTCCTGCTCAGAAGGGGCATTCCCGCAGGTCCACACCTCTGCAGCTCCTTTCTGTGCCCAAACTCTTTCTTTTTTTTTTTTTAAAGAAGTTCCATCTTTTTTTTTTTTTTTAAAAAACATTTATTTATTCATACAAGCACTGGGTACAGTCAGAAGCGCGGGAGGGTGAGAGAATTCACCAGAGCCAGAGCGGGGAGCAGAGCAGGCAGAAGGACCGAAGTACACTGCTGAGGGGAGCAGCGGGCGGCAGGAGAGGTCTGCGCGCCATGTGGGACCCTCGCCTGTGGCCGGGGAGCAGCCGGGGATTGAACCGGCGCTGCAGAGGCTGCAGGCAGCTTTGCAACCCGGCGCTCAACCGCTGCGCCACCGGGGAGGCCCCCAAACTCTTTCTTACTGAACTTTCAACTTAAAATCACTGTTGACTGAAGATGTTTCCAGCTAGGCACAGCCTTCCCAAGAACCTGCAGGCATCTTCTCTTCTTCTCTCTCCATCCTAACCAAAGCCAGCTTGACTAAAAGTCAGGGACATCTCAGGAATATAATCCCTAACCAATCATAATTCTTGGGAAAAAAAATTGCAATCTTGGGCCTCCCTGGTGGCACAAGGGGTTAAGACGCAGCCTATGAAACTAGCCACAGCCACTGCTGCACGAGTTCAATCCCCAGCCAGGGAGAAACCCACATGGCGCAGCAGACCTCTCCTGGCTCGCCCGCTGCTCCCCTCAGCAGTGTGTTTCAGTCAGTCTGCCTGTTCCTAACTCTGTCTCTGGTGAATCCTCTCACCCCCCCCCACCTCTAGCCTGTACCCCAGTTCTTGTATGCATAGATAAATAAATCTTTAAAAATATATATTTGTTAAAAAAAAAAAAGTTTGCAATCTTACCTTCTCCCTTCTTTTCTCCTTTATAAACCCCTTAAACAGAGACCCCAGTCAGACACAACTTGCGCTGACCCCTAAGTTTGTGCTGCCCGGTTTGCAAATCTAAAACACCCAGATAAGTGCTTTTTTATCGTAGCCTTTTCCCCCCTCAGTTTACAACTTCATTCTGCTTTCAAGAGTTTCAAAGCTTATAAGTGGCCTCCCTCCCTGCGACACGATGGCTGAGGCTGGCACATCTTTCTTGTATAAAGCCTCCTCCCTTGCCAAGCCCATGGCAGGTACTCAGCAAGATGACCCAGTGGCCACGGGCTGGGCATTCATAGCTCTACATCCCCAGGCCTTCCCCCCGCCCCACCCAAGGCCTGACATAGACTTTCAGGGTTCCTTGGCGCTTACCTCTTTCTTCACTGCCCGAAAACCCTTCTTAGCACCTCCCGTACCTCTTCCATGAGGGCCGTGAACACCCCTGGGGAAGAGAACTGTGTTTCCATGTTCCACCCTCAGTCACACTCTGGTTGGAACTTTTTGGGGGGGTTCTCTGTTTCTCACCAGGGTCAGGCAGACTTCTGCCGGGAAACTGGCACCCTGTACCCTAAAATTCATTCACTGAGGCTCTGTTGAGAATGGGTGCAGGTGAGGAGGCAAAATGACAGACTTGGGGTTGATAAGAGTGAAAATATGTATTTAAAGTGAAAGCAGTAACAGCGAGCAGCAAAGGTGACCTGCGGGACCCAGCCCCCAGTTTTTCCTATTAAAGATAAATCTCAGCTTGGAAGTCCAGTTTACAGAGATCTGTGTGGCCCCTTCCGGCACCAGCCTCCCGACCCCCACGCGACTGTCTTCAGTCGGCCTCCCTGTCACTGGTTTCCCCTCTCTCGGCCTGACCTGCTGTTTGCATTTCTGGGGATTCCCTTTTCCCCAGCCCCTCTAGCTCACTCCTGCTGGTTTCTAGAGGTGCCTCCTGTAGTTCTTCCGGGTCCCCTGTGCTTGAATCTGAGAGGTTTTGATCCAGCAGTGAATCCCTCCTATAAATTTCTCTTGACTCTGTCCTGCCCACTTCGGGTAATTGCTCATCTACTTCTTCGGAGCTTCTGGCGCCCAGTTCTCCCGACACTGCCTCAGCAGCCTCCCCTGACTCTGGCCCCCCCTCCCCGGGATCCCTTGTCGCGGGGGAGCCGGCTCTGGCGGCCTCGCCCCTCGGCCTGTGCTCCCGCGCGTCCTTCTCTGCGGCGCGGGGGTCTTCCTCGGCCTCCTGGCCCTCGTCCTGGGTGTCCCTCTCGCTCTCCCCGAGCTCTCGCTCCCACCGCTTCACCATCTTCTCGGTTTCCTGCCTCCTCCTCAGGGCGCCCTTCTCCCTTGTGGCTTTTGGCCTACTCGGTACAGGTGCCTCTTCTGGAACACGAGAAAGGAGGGAAGACAGGAAAGTTGGCCCCTCTCCGGGCCTGGTGGACCCCAGCCAGGGGGGAGGCTGAGAGACCCCCGAGCCCTGCCCGGGGCGTCGGGTGGGACCTGGTGCCCGGTGCCCCGTTGCGTCACCAGCAGGTCGCACACGTCATTGACTCAAGTGTGTGACCCAAGGGCCTGAGGCTGAGGAAAAAAGAAACACGCAGAGGTCAAACCGCAGAGGGGAAGGGCAGTCGCATCTGAACCCAGAACCGTCTGCTCCAGGAGCGGCTCCTTCCCAGCGAGAAACAGCCCGGGCGCCGGGAGAGGGGCGGGCGGCGCGGCTCTTGCCCGGCACCCGCACTGCCTTTGTCGTGGAGCCTGGGAAGCACCTGCATGGTTTGTTGGGAGGGTCCCTGTAACGATCTCAGCAGCCTGCTGGGAGTTGAGCTGGAGGCCTATTTTACACCCAGAGGATCCTGGCTCCTGGTGTTTAACAGCTGCGGAGCAAAGGCGCAAATTCCCTTCTGCGTCTCCCTCCACACCCCCCCTCCAGCTCCCCAAGTCTCTGGCCTGGGCTCCCGGGGTGGAAAGGGCTGAATTGGCCTTGAAGACGCGTGCCATGCTGCCCCCTGCTGCTCCGGGGGGGATGTGCTGGCAGCTGCCGCCGGCTGCCGCCTGGGGAGCCCAGGCTGGGGGGCCTCTGCCAGTTCCCTGTGGTGTCGCTTCCTATTTATTGTTCCTGTGGCTTCTGAGAGCTCCTCAAGGGCATGTGGGGGCAGAGGCGCGTCTCCCTCTAAGCGGACCCAGTGACCACATGGCAGGCACTGGATCATAAAGGGCTGGTACCTGGCTGCTCTGGGGCCAGAAACCCCACATCCACATTCTCCTGCCTGCCCCTGAACCGGAGAGGGGTGTGGCCTTGGTGCTTGGCGGGGCTCTGTCCCCACGGTGGGACTGGACCCCTGAGTCCTGATCTGTAACATCAAGTGGACAGTGCTGCTCATTTCCTCGTGCTCTTGGGGGCGGGGGGGGGGTGGCTCAGAAGAGGCACTACCCAGAAAGCCCCGCTGAGAGCGCTGGGCACACAGGAAGCACTGGCAGGAGATCAGCTTCCCTTGCTGTCTCCCTCCTTGCACAGTGCCCGGTCAGAGAGCAGGGGGCTGGGGTGAGGTTTAGGTTCAGCAGGGAGGGGAGGACAATCCCACTACTCCCCCAGAGACCTTGGACAGCAGCAGCCCCTGCCCCTTAGCTCACCTCTGCCCCTCTCACCTCCTGTGCCTCTGGCCCCTCCCTCCACACTGCTGGCCCCACAGAGCAGCCCACGCCCACGCGTCAGGGAGAGTGTGGCTCCAGGTGAGACTGCCACGTCACCAGGCGGATCTTTCCGCCTCACTTGGCTCCTGAAAACAGCTGCTGCCTCTCAGGGCGGCGAGCACCCAGTGAGATGGCTCCTGCCCCAGGCTCAGCCCAGCTTCTGCCCCTCAAGAAGTGCCCGAGAAAGTATCATATTGTCTGCCTGTGCCTCTGTTCCCGCTTTTCCCTCCTAGGAATGCCTTCCCTCTTCCACCAGCCCCTGGAAAAGCCTTGGGGCATCATTTAGAGCCAAAACCCAAGGATTCTTCTTCCTTGGAGGCTTCCCTACCTCCCTGGAGAAGCCCAGAGCTCCCAGGATTCGCTCTCACAGCCGAGTGCGCCCACCTGGGCCACCCGGGTGCAGGTGCCTGTGCATGACAGCCCTGTTGTCTGACTCCGCAGGGTGCAGGCTTCTCTAGAGCAGAGGTGAGTCTGTCTCCCCAAAATCTCATCCCTTCCTGGCACAAGACAAGGGCTCCACAGATATTTGATGGATCGATGGAAGATGCACATGTGGCTCTCAGGGCAGATAGCGGGGTTCAGACCCCTTGGGAGAAGGCTGGTGCCGCTGGGGGCACTGACACAGGATGCTGGGTGGGGAGAGCTGGCCGGGGAGGGCGCTGACATGGCCCTGTTCCCGGCTCTGGAACTCACCTTTCTCTTTCTTCCCTTCGAGAAGATCCCTATAGTTGGTTTTCTTCAGCACTTCAACAATGCCCTTGTTGGCATCATCCAGAGCCTATGGGTGGTAGAGGGAACTGGTGAACACCTGACCCCTATTTGGCACCCACACCTTGCCACCCATGCCCCATCCCCAGAGGGCAGGGCTGGGCCCTGATGCCCCCCACACACACCTCCTTTCTCCAGGCTGAGGCCTGCCCGAGGATAGCTTACAATTCCTGACTCGGAGCCGCCCACACCAGGGCTGTGACACAGAGCTTGCAGATAACAGCCTTCACCTTGGGAGTATGTCCTTCCGCTATATTTTCTGCCCTTTTGCCTAAAGCGCTTTTTGGCTTTAGCTAATGTGGGGAGGCCTCTCAAGCCCCTCAGCACTCACAAGGCAAACCACCATGGTCAGGACTCAGAAACACTCAGCAGGCTCGGTGCTGGGGGGCTGGCGGCCTTCAGAGTGGCTCCCAGGGTGTCTGCAGGTTCCCCTGGGCCTGGAATTCAGCCTGTGAGCATCTGGGGGGCAGGCTCTGCCTCTTCTTCCTCACAGAAGGCCCCACCGCTGGCACGGGGCAGATGCCCCGTGGGAAATGGGTTCAGAACAACCACTGGGCCTAGCGCCTTCCCGCGGGTTAGTTTGCCCCTTCCCCGCACCTTCACCCCTCCACGTGGCTTCCTGCCTGGAGGCCAGTCCAGGAGAGGGAAGGGCCAGGGGACGTCTCAGTCTCATGAGGTCACTCAGGACTGCGACACTGTCTGGCCTGGGCAGGAGGGACTGTTGTCTGCCTCTCCACCTGTTACCCCTCTTTGCTGTGAAAGCCTCCACCCCAGCCCCCCCCACTGAGGTCTCTCGTTCTGAATCCCCCTAGTCCCCATCACACTGGTCATGGACAGGGGCTTGTTGTTTTAACTTCCTGAGGCCAGGACCGAAGTTGTCACCTTTGGGCTGGGCAGCCCAGAGCCAGGCCAGCAAATGTGTTCACTGGGGTGCACCAACCGCGTGCTCGCTGCAGACACGCACAGGCTCGTGTGGCGAGGACTAAGTGGGAGCGGCCCCCCCGAGCGGCTTCTGTGAGAGGAGCTGACTCGAGGCAGAAGCACAGGGAGGTGCCTCCCCGACCAGGACCTCACAAACCAATGGGTCAGGCAACTTCTCTGCCCTTCCCAACTCTTAGGTCCAGGCTGGATCCACTGACTAACTGTGGTCTTTTGACCCTACTCCCCTTGCTGTGAACCCCACCAGCCCTGGGGTCCCCCAGGCTATGGCTGCCAGGCTTTAGTGCTCTTGCCCTTCTCAGCATGGCCAAACTCTCCCTCCCTGTCTTCTGAAGTCCTTGGGGGCCACTCCCCAGGGCCCCTACTCTCCCTCCTGAGCACATGCCCCACTGGCACTTTCTGCTCACTGCTTCTGCACTCTGGCCTCTCAGCCAGGCAAGCTCCCCAGGGCAGGGCCTTGCTTAATTCACTCGAGTAGCTGCTTGTTGGGGTCCTGCTATGTGCTGTGGCAACTTCAGAATGTTGACATGGGAAGGCTTAGGGGCAGCAACCTGGCTGGCAGTAGGAGCTAGGGTGGCCAGGGGGCTCGTGCTAAGCTGCCTGTGCATCTGCCAGGCCAGGGCGCTGCCCCACCCCCAAGGTGTGCATTGGCCTAGAATGGCTCTGAGGGCGGTGGGGCATCTCCAGGCTCCCCACCCCACCCTGGTCCCTGCGTCCTAAAGCCTAGAGTCTAGGCTAATATGTCCAACAGAAATTTCTGCAACCATGGGCGTGCCCTGGATCTGCACCCTGTGGTGGCCACAAGCCATGCTGAGCACTTGATATGTGGTGAGTGTGGCTGGGAAACTGACCATTACCTTTCGTTTGCTGTGACTTCATTTTAAGCTAAATGGCCACCCGGCTGCCTTACTGAGCGGGGACATTGAGGTCTGCCTTCCGGGGTCTAGGCAGTTACCATACAGAGTGATGTGGACAATAACAGGAGACATCTGGAGCAGCGGGGGCCAGGAGAGAGGTCCCCTGGCCCAGGCTGAGAGCACAGAGATCTGAGAGAGGGGGTGTTGAAACCTAAGGTTGGAGGGAGCTCGCCAAGTGGAAGAGGTGGGACAGGCAGTTTAGAAGCACATTCCAGGCAGAGGGAACAGCACATGCTAAGAGGCATAAGAAAGCCTGTTCAGGGAAAGGCAGGAGGCTGCCTTGGTTGGAGCCAGAACTAAGGCTGGCGAGCCCCCCAGGGAGAGGTTACCACAGGCTCCCCAGCTCTGGCCAGAAAAGGCCTGGAGCACTCTCCCAGGAAAGCCAGCAAAGGATTAAAGCAAGGGAGTGGGGCAATCATACTCTTGCTGGCTCCTGGAGGAGGTGGCATTTTTCAAACCTATAATCAGTCTTAAAGGCTTCACCCTGTATTAAAGAAAAGAAAGGGGAAACCAAAGCAGATACCACAGGGGGTACCAGCACACGGGGAAGGGGACTGTGTTATAAAACTCGTTTCTATTTTTTGTTTATGTTGAAAGAAAATACAGTTCTTGGGAGCCTCAAGCGTACCCTGCAGCTGATGGGTACTAGGCAGGTGTGGGATAGCTGAGAAGGCTGAGGGGCTGAGGGCTGCACCTCCCCCCTCTACTCCCCCCCCCCACCCCGCCAGCAGGGCCCAGTAGAGAGAGGCTCACACTCAGGATGGCCTTCTGCGCCTCATTGTTGTGGACCAGCTTCGCTCGTTCCAGAGCCTTTTCGAAGTTGTTCACGGCTGACTCAAAGTCGTTCAGCTTCACTGCAGAGCAGGGGAGATGCACAGGGAGGCTGTGTTGTGTGCTGAACAGTGTCGGGGGCCACGGGCCTGTGGTCCCTGGGCTGCCTGGCAACTCCCAGGGCCAGTCAGCAGCCTGTGTGAGCTGGAGCCAGCACAGGCAGGCCTACTGCGTCACTGCCCAGCACCCTCTTTGCATCACGTTCTGGGCTGTGCCATATCTGAAGCATGGAGCCTTGGGCTTCCGCCCACTCAGAGGGTCAGCGAGGGAAGGGGATCTGGGCAGGGGCCAGTGCACGCATCAGGTGTCTTCAGGGCAGGGGTACAACTACATCCTGCTCCTTTTTAGATTGTTCCAGAAGAAGAAATCCATAGTTTTAAAATTGTCATTCAAATTTTTCAAAAATGCTGTGGACACTAAATGAAATATGGAAGGGCTGGATGTGACTGGCTCGTGCCAGCAGCTGGAAGCTCAGCCCCCACACTGGTGCCCCCTCAGCTGGGAGAGGAACAGGGCTCTGCCAGCTAGTTGATGCTGAAGCTGGGACTGGACACACTGACTGACTGGCTGATGTCGGTCCTTTAAAAGAGCTCCACTTCAGGAAGGGAGAAAAGTACCCGCCCTCTGGTTTCTTCATATACCACTGCTTTCTCTGAGAACTTAGCATCCCCCAATTTCCCTGCCCCAAAATGCTTCGGGATCCATGGGGAGAGGAGGGCCTTGTGTCCATAAGTCAAACTGCAAAGAGCGATTACATTTGAAAAGCAAGGGCCTCCCTATGGCACAAGGGGTTAAGATGCAGCACTATGAGGTTATCTGAAGCCACTGCAGCATGAGTTCAATCCCTGGCCAGGGAGCCGACCCACATGGCACAGCAGACCTCTCTTGTCTTGCCTGCTGTTCCCATCAGCAGTGTATTTCAGTTAATCTTCCTGTTCTGTTCCCCACTCTGTCTCTGGCGAATCCTCTCACCCCCCACACCTCTGGCCTGTACCCCAGTTCTTGTATGCATAAATAAATAAATCTTTTTAAAAAGAAAAGAAAAGAAAAGTGATTAAGATAGTATGTGGAGTGATAGGAAATGGGACCAAATAAATGCTTTTTCAAACACATATTGGAAAAGAAGGAGTCACAGCACCCATTCGGAGGCTACTCAGAATGGCAGAGCTATTCCAAGCCGCAGGCCCAAAGAGGCGTCTCAAATTAATAACCTGGGGTATGAATAAAAGATGAATTATAGACGCTGTCACAGCTGCTCCCTCCCTGGGGGCAGGCTGTGTACCAGGGTGGTCTAGACCAGGGAGCCATGGCTTGGGCACTGGAGTATATGAACGGGTTCTAGTTCCAGCTCCATCACTTAGCCGGTCACCTGGAGCCATTTCTTTTGAATGCTACATTATGAAAGCCTTCAAATACATACGCAAGTAAAAGGCAATAGTATAATGAGTCACCATTACTCATCACCCAACTTCACAATTACCAAAATATCACCAATTCTGTTTCATCTATTCCTCCATACTCCCTGCCCCTTGCTGGTTTTCTTTTCTTTTCTTTCTTTTTTTTGGCAACTTGACTGAGATGTAATTCACATTATAAAAGGCACCTCATCTGTGAGTACGCAGTTCTGTGATTTTTGCAGCAGTGTAGTGAATCACTACCACTAAGCCCAGTTTAGGACTCTCCCATCACTCCAGAAAGTTCCCTCAGATGCCCCAAATTTTGAATTTAGCTTGATATCAGTGCTTTCCACAAGGTGGCGAAATGCAGGATTTGTCCCCACTCTTAGAATCATAACTCATCTGGACAGGGACACACAGGTGCAGGAAGTTGGGCCTGTAGGATTCCCAGCCCTGGCACGGCTGCTGGGCTGTGTGCTGGGGAAGGTGGAGTGGTCCTCTCTGAGCCCATACCTTGTGCCTGTGCCACCAGGACGCTGGCATTTAGCTGCCACTCAATGTCCCCTTCTTCCTCGGCACACTGCTGGGACCTCTCTCCATAGCTCTGGGCCTGCCAGGCCTGGTCTAACTCCAAGTAGCAGCGGCCAATCTCATGGAACAGCCAGGTCTTCTCCAGGGTGGTTTTTGCCAGAGGAATCTTTTCCTCCCACCTGGGGATCAGTGCACAGAGTTAGCTTGTTCCACTCAACCCCTGCACTCGGCCACAGGTGAGCAAGGCTCCAACAGGTGGCAGAGGAAAAACTGTTCTGCATTCGTCAGTTCTGTTAGAGACAGGGTGAAGCTAAGAAGCATTGATAGATTTCTAATACTACCAAAGCTATTCTGGTAGATCTATGGGATCAAATTTGACAAAACAGTTGAAAATAATGTTTACAAGGTAGCATTTGAAATAACATTAAAAATGTGTGAGAATATTCTTAAATGAGTATAAGAGAAAAATCAGCACAGAAAAAAATTTGGAATAAAGAAATCAATAAGGGGCCTCCCTGGTGGCACAAGGGGTTAAGACACAACCTATGAAGCTGTCCTCAGCCTCTGCATCACGAATTTGCCCCCCCCCCCCCCCCGTGGCCAGGGAGCAACCCACATGGCGCAGCTGATCTCTCCTGACTCACCCACTGCTCTCCTCAGCAGTGTATTTCAGTCAATCTGCCTGTTCTGTTCCCCACTCTGTCTCTGGTGAATCCTCTCACCCCCCGCCCCACACCTCTGGCCTGTACCCCAGCTCTTATATGCATAAATAAATAAATCTTTAAAAAAATAAAATGAACAATGATATAATATATATATATGTATATAAAAGAAATCAACAAGAGTAGGGTTAAAATCTGTGCTTGTCTTTGGGTAGTGGGATTGAATCATTGTTGTTCTACTTTTCTGTCCGAGAGGTCAAGTCCACAATTCCTGAATTTGTCCAAGGTAAGGATCAACTGGAATGCTTGTTAAATGCAGGTTCCTGAGCTCCACCCCAAACCTGTAGAATCAGAATTTCTAGGGGTGAAGCCCATAATTCCTATACCTTGCAAGTACTCCAGGTAATTCTAAACACTGTCACAAATTTTGAGAAAGTGCGGATTCTGTTAACTAAAGGGATGAGTCCCAGAATTTACAAAGAGCTGCCCAAGATGGCCTCACAGAGCCAGGAGCCAAGCTCATGTCCAGCCTGGCAGCTCGGCCTCAGGCTAAGCATGTTGGCATGGGGTGGGGAAGGGACAGTCCTTTGCAACTCACGTGTCAATGGCTTGCTGGAATTTCCCAACTCTGGCAAAAACCCTGCCAATATTGTCAAGGGCTCTCGACTTGGCATCAGGAAGGTCACTGTGGGGAAGAAGCAAGTCATGTTGTTCACTACAATTGGGTACTCTGAGATCTGAAGAAATAGTAAAGAAGCTGATAAACAGGGTAAGAAGTAAAGAAAAAATAAGAAGCGGGCATTTTAAAAGCAGTCCAGAGAACTGTAAGTCCAACTCTTTTTTTTTTTAAGATTTATTTATTTATGCATACAAGAGCTAGGTTGTAGGCCAGAGGTGCAGAGGGTGAGAGGATTCACCAGAGACAGAGCGGGGAACAGAACAGGCAGACTGACTGAAATACACTGCTGAGGGGAGCAGTGGGCAAGACAGAAGAGGTCTGCTGTGCCATGTGGGTAGCTCCCTGGCCGGGGATCAAGCTCATGCTGCAGTGGCAGCAAGGCAGCAGAAGCTTCATAGTGCTGAGACTTAACCCCTTGCACCACTGGGAGGCCCTGTAAGTCCAACTCTTAACTCAGAGATATGAGTCCAACTCAGAGATACGAGTATGAGGGTAACTTCTAATTTATCCACACTAATTAAAAATGTTATAGTATTCGGACCTCCCTCACCAGGGTGCAGGGGTTAAAGTCTTGTGCTATTAAGCTATCATTAGCCACTGCAGCGTGAATTCAATCCCCAACCAGGGAGCTCTGCTGTCTCACCTGCTCCTTCCTCAACTGTGTATTTCAGGAGATCTGCCTGTTCTGCTCCCCACTCTCTCTGGTAAGTCCTCTCACCCCCTGCACCTCTGGGCTACACTCCAGTTCTTGTATGCATAAATAAAAAAAAATAAGAATCTTAAAAAAAATTTTTTTTACAATATTCATGTGTCATCAGAAAAGACATTAAAGGCATTTGCTTCCCACACATCCATTCTTTGCTGTTACCATAGGAAGGTTCTGATCTCTCTTTAAAAATTCCTCCTTCCCAAAAAATAAAACCACAACTTCTCCCCACATCTCAGATCCCCTCCACCAGCAGCCCCTCTCTCCTTCCCAGGCAGGCTTGGAGACTTCCTCAAGGCCCTGCACCCAGCTTCCCTGCCTCAGGGGACTGCTCCTCCTCCTCTTCAGCCTTCACCTTGCCTGTCAGGCCCTCCCTCCATACCTCTGGTGAGTTTCACTGCCCTGAAATACCTTCCTTTAAAGCCATTTAAAGACCTAGGTGTGGAATTGCTGGATTATATGGAAGTTCTATCTTTAGTAGGTTGAGGAATCTCCACACAGCTTTCTATAGTGGTTGGACCAGTTGCACTCCCACTAGCAGTGCAGGAGAGTTCCTTTTTTTCCTCAACCTCGCCAACATTTGTTGTTGCTAGTTTTTTTAATATGTGCCATTCTCGCTGGTGTAAGATGGTATCTCATGGTAGCTTTGATTGGCATTTCCCTGATTACAAGTGATGTGGAACATTTTTTCATATGCCTGTTGGCCATTTGCATTTCCTCTTCAGAGAAGTTTCTTTTTAGCTCTTCTGCCCATTTTTGGACTGGATTATTTTCTTTGTTTTTGTTGAGTCTCATCAGCTCTTTGTAGATTTTGTGATTAGTCCTTTATCATTAGTGTTGTGTGCCAAAATTTTCTCCCAGTTGGTGGGGTTTCTCTTTGTTTTGGTTATTGTCTCTTTCAAAGACACATTCTTTCAAAAAACAACAGAGTAAGGAGTTGCTTTTGTTTTGAAAACCCTGTGTATGTGTAATGTTCAGAAGTATATGGGTAGACATGCTGGAAAGGGTCAGAAGGGCACAGGTCTGGATGAGCTGTGGGAGGGAAATGGAGGGCAGGACTCTGGGAGGCGGGAGGAGAAGGCACAGAGGATGGTGGGGGAGGGGATGCGCAGTGAGCAGAGGGAGATTCTGACCAGCTGGAGGGGTCCGAGGGACCAATAGCTCCATCCGCAGAGTAGGTGCCTGAGGGGATCAAGATAAGGGATTCCATTTTGTACAAGTTAAATGTGGGGCTCCTGAGGGACAGGATAGTGGAAATGCCGCAGATGGAGAAAGATATGTGGGTCAGAGGCTTGGGAGGGAGGTCTGGTGAGAAGGAAAGATTTAGACATCTTGGATGGTTGGATCCAACCTTATGCCATCATTAGAGATGAGGAAAGCAACTTAACCAAACCCACATGGCTCCGGTGCGCCGTAGCCAGGCAGCAAAGTCAGGTCTATCTCCAAAGCTGGTTGTTGTTTGTTTTCTACTTCAAGAATGGCCACCCTGTGATTGTCCGCTCAGCATGGTGAAGGCAGTTGGGTTAGGAACTGTGAGCGTGGGCTAGGGCAGGCTTGAGGAGTGAAGAGGAGCAGGCAGGAGTTCAGGAAATGCAGAGGGAGGCCTGACGAGGGAGAGTTGTGGAAGTTGGTTCAGAGAGGGCCTGCAGTGCCAAGCAAAAACATTTGGTTTTAACCTGCAGACACTGAGAGGCCAGTGTTTGTCAGAAGGGGAAGGAGAGTGGACAAATAACAAGCAGTGTCTCTGGAGGTGACGTGTGGTGTGGGAGAGCTGGAAGCAGGGAGGCGGGACTGTGAGTGCAAATGGGGTGATGGGAGACTGGGAGAGGCTCAGAAATGTGTGTTGGAGGGGGTGGGTAGAAACTGGGCAGGAGACAGTTGCAGATGACTCTGAAGGGCAGAGGTCCAGGAGGCGATGGTTCTTCTGAGAGGAGACCATCACCTCTGGAGAGGGCTCGGGCCTCGGGGAGTTCATCTTATTGATATTTTGTCCTGAGACCTCCGCGTGCACTTCAATGTGCCATTCTCCATCCCACCCTGCTCAGGTGGGGGCTACTGTTATTTATGTCCATTTGACAGCGGAGAGGCCGAGGCTGAGCAAAGCTAAGTGGCTGGCCCGAGGTCCCACGCCTGGGAGGTTCAGCTCCGAAGCCCAGCTCACACCTACTCCTGAGCTCAGGCCCTGGGGAGGGGCTGTGGTTGCTGAGGCCCTGCCTGATCCAACCCCTGTCCGCTGCTCTGGCCTTCTCTTGGCCACTGTCCCCTGGCAAGACTGTGCTGGCTAGCCCTACCTTCCTATTGCCTGCCTCAGGGCCTTCCCACAAGCCATGTGTTTTCCCCAGGGAGACACACACACACACACACACACACACACACGTCAAGGCCTCCTGGGATATACTTCCCATAGTGCTGGGACCTGTACTTTTCCTTCACCATGCATTTCACAGGGACAATTAATTGGCTGTATCATGCTTTTTGTTTGTAGTTTGCAAGCAAATGACCCTTGTGTCTGATCCCCATTATGTTCTCCTCGACTTAGCTGCATGTGGCATGTCTGGAGTTGATGATAACTTGGGCAGATGATATGAAAACAAAAGCACCCCTAAGAGCCACAGCACTGGGAACTTTGGAGAGTTCTGGGCTACGGCCCTCCTCTTTGTGGCAAAAAGGCTAACAGTCTTAGTTTGCCCCGCACCCCACCCCCAGTCCAGGCAGACTGCTCCTCCCAGGGGAAATCTACCTCAGGCAAGCAGGGCAGAAAATGGCCCCAGTAGCCCTGGCAAAAGGCTGAGATACAGCAGCAGCCTGCAGGCCCAGCGGCCTGCCCCCGGCACTCACTATTCCTTGGCGATCTCTAGGTCCTTTCGGTGGCTCTGCAGGGCGGCCACCATCTGCCCCAGCTCGATCTGGGCATTCCCTATGCAGCTGTACAAGTTTCCAACCAGTTCATCCTTGTTGGGCACTTCCTCCTTGTTCCATTCCAGCACCTTCTTTAGTACTTTCTCAGCTTTCTGGAGGCTCCCATCAGCACTGCCGCTGGTCAACACTGGGGAAGGAGAGGTGACAGGGAGGTGGGGGCAGTCTCCTCACACTGACCAGCGGCCTGGAGAACCCACCTCCCCCCAACCCAGCTTCAGATTACCATGTCACCCCCTCCCCACCTGGCAGAGGCCTGGCCCCCTCTGAGAACACCACCCACACATGTCAATCTCCTCCAGGCTCTTGAGGATGTAGCGAGCAGTCTGTGAGGGACGGCGTTTGCGGTCCCGCAGCCATTTCTCTTGCATCAGCTTCCGGTCCCGCTCCCTGGCGTAGATAGGCTTCTGCTGTCTCCAGAAGTTACTGCGGGTGTCCAGGTAGTTGATGCCAGTCATGATGAGGTCCTCCACGGTCAGGCCATGCTTAATGGTGCCCTTGATCAGGTCTGTGGGGAAGGGTGAAGAGGAACCAACTAGAACAGCATCTAAGAGAGTTGCCTCCTCTTGGTTCGGGGCCCCTGCTGCAGGGCCCTCCATGGGCAGCTCTGCCCAGAATTGCTGGAACAGGAAGGAAAGTGAGAGCACATGTGTGGCAGAGGGGGTCTACTTTCCCAAAGAAGCCAGAGCGCCCCCTCCCCTCCTTGGGGTACTCCTATTGCTCAGAATCTAGTGCAGAGGCCACTTATGACTTATGTAAGGAACAAGCAGGAGGGGCAGCTCAGGGCCCCTGCATTTCAAGCCATGTCCTCAGAGAAGACCAAGTCTACAGGCATGACCTGTCTCAAGGTGCCCATGCCAACTGATTCCCCAGTGCCAAATGGGCCAGTTCCTGCTTATAGCTGGAGGGGTGTGCCCTAGTCGTGCCTGCCCATCTGCCCAGAGGTTAGACCTGGTGGCAAAGCTACAGGGCCACTTGGGGTAGTGTTCAGGCCACCTCCCCCCTACGCAAAGGCTTCTCTGGAGGGAGGAAAGTGGTCAGGCCAGTGACAGGTATGTGACAGCAGTGAAGCTGCCCCTGTGCCAGACCTGCATGGAATCCTGCAAGTGACCTTGTGAAGTCAGTTCTGGAGAAAAGGCATCTGACTGAAGGGTGACCCCTTCTCGGGGGCATAGTCCCACCCCCACACTTATGGAGACATTCATTTCAAGGCTCCGTCGTCATCGTCCTAGTGGCTGTCAGCGTAGTGTGGAGGAAGAGCGTTGCACTGGAGACTAGGAGGCCTGGTGTTGCTGAGGCAGCAGCTCCCTGTCGCCTGGGACGAGTTACTCATGACTTAGGGGCTCTAATTCCTTATCTATAAAAGCAGGAATTGGACAGATGGGATTTCAGGACATTCTAGTACTAGAAGCCTAGGAATCCCCTTCCAGCACCTCCCAGCTGGATTCCTCTGCCCATTATACAGACCCCAGGCTAGGGGACACCCCTCAGGGACTCAGGAGGGTAGTTAAGTACCAGGTCTCCGGGGGCCCCTCCCAGGGTATCACAGTGTGTAAGAACACTGGTTCTGAAGTTGGGTTCCTGTGCTCAAACCCAAAAGCCAGGCCGCTGCGTATCTACATGAGTTTCTTATGTACCTGTGCCCACATACATATCTGTATGTCTATGTGAGTTACTTAGCCTTGCTGCACCTCAGTACCCCTGTCTGTAAAATGAGAACACTAGTAAAGCCTGCCCAGAGGAGCATGCCAGCTGTAATTAGAAGATACACAGTCTCTGGCTCATGCATGACACATCCACCCCAGATTCCTTTGCTCTGAGTTCTCTGTTGCAAACCAAGTATCTGAAACCTTCATCCAACAGGAGCTTCTCCAGATACTCCTTGTCCACGTAGAGCTCCCCCAGGAGCTGGCGGACAATCTTGTCACTCTTGAGGGAGCCCTTTCGTTTGTACTCTCTCTTGGGTTGTTGTAAGTGGCGTCTCATGATGAGATGAGGTTTCTGCTGGGCTTTCATGCTCTGCGAAGATACAGCAATACCCAACAGGGCCTCGATAAGGAGCACAGGGTACCCACTCACGGCCCCAGAGTCTAGGATCCCAGATTTCTCCTCCAGGATCTCTCTGTGGGCAAAGAACCATGGAACAGTTAGTGTCTCAGGCCCCTCTGGAGCTGGGGCAGAGCGCCAGGGCTGCCTGTCATGACAGGAGCTAATCACTCCAGGAGAGAGTATCCCTGGGACCTGTGCTTCTCAGGTCACTGGGGCCTCCCCTTGGAGAACCAAGTCTCTTCCCTCAGCCTCAGACGCAGGGCCCTTACCTCAGCTTGCTTGCTTAAAAAGGAGAGGTCCCCTTTGTTCTCTAGTTTAACCGAAGATGGACCTGTAAGGGCAGAAGCTGGGACTCAGGCCTGCCAGGCCCCTGAGCATGACCCATCACATATTTTTATGTGGAAATGGCTGCCTTGGGCAGGAGGATGATGGAGGCTGTAGCAAAGCTGGCTCTGAGCCAGTCTCGCAGGCAAATGGCACAGGCTGCCTGGTACATGCTCCTAGGAGCTAGGCATGCCCCTGCTAGCCCAAGGCATGGCAGTCAGATTTCCAAATATTGGAAAACCCTGTGCCATTATCAGCCACAGTGGCCCTCTCACGTTCTCCTCCCTCCTACCCCTACCACTAAGGCAATGGGGAAGAGAACCAGACACTGCAGTACTGGGCACTGTGGAGCAGGGACAAGGCTCCCGGCGGACAGTTCCTAGGCCTCAACAGAATCAGCAGCAGCCTGTTACTCCCTGCAGGCCGGGTGGTGGTTTCTCACTCCCTGTAACTCAGATCTTCCTTAAACCTAAGGTTTGAGAGCCTTCTTGGACAAGGGCAGGGCCCCAAGGTCACTCACTTCCCACTGAGTTGTTGATGGCTTCCTGGGCTTTCTGAATTCCAACTTTGAATTCCCGATCAGGCCGTAGTTTGTAGCCTCGATGGTAGAACACCAAAGCAAACTCGAAGTCTCCCATGGTGTACAAGGTCTCAGCCTTTTGTAAAATCCCCTGGAATGAAAGGAAGTCAAAGTGGACAGACAAGACCTCGCAGGACTCAAGTGTGGTGGAAAGAAGGGTCCAGGGTCGGGGATCAAGACTGGGCTCCAGAGGACAAGGGGCAAGTGAAGAGAAAGTGGCATCAAGTTCTAGGCAGTTTGGCTGGTTCTTCAATTCGTTAAAACCAGAGATTGCTGCAGGCAGTGGCAGCGGTGAAAGCAAGATTGAGTCTTCACCTTGCAGAAAGTCGGGTCACCCTGGAGTGAAGCCTCAGCATCCTTCAGGGAATTCTCCAATTCTCCCATCTTCAGGAAGCACTTGGAGCGGGCAACCAGGCAATTCTTATCTCCATTCTGAAGGTGGAGAGCCTGAGAGAGGAACCACTCGGGTTGGCAGGCTCCAGGCAAGGAAGGGTAGAAGCTTGACAGGAAATAGCAGCCCAAACCCCCCTCAGAGGTACAAGAAGACTCAGGCCAGCAAGCAGGGGCTCTAGATCTTATCAGACCCAAAGCAGCACCACATTGATTTGGGCTCAGTCACCCTGATTAGCTCTACACTGGCTTGTCCTGAGCAAGGCCCTGCCACAAATTACTGCGGAAGCCACTGGTTGCGGTGTGAGAATAGACTATTCAGGAAAAACTGAATTTCCCCAAAAATCTGGGATCCCTCCCCTCCATTCAGGCAATAGAATCTCAGAATGTTGAGGCATAACAAACATCCTTCCGGGCATACCAAACCTGAATGGCTATACCTCATACTTGAAATAGATTTCAAAGACTGAGCATTCTGAAAGCTAATAAGATTGGCCATTGACAATGTGCAACTTCTGCTACCTGTTCCACTAACCCTATTTTTTTTTTAATTAATTAATTTATTTATTTATACAGGCACTGGGTACAGTCAGAAGCGCGGGAGGGTGAGAGAATTCACCAGAGCCAGAGCGGGGAGCAGAGCAGGCAGAAGGACCAAAGTACACTGCTGAGGGGAGCAGCGGGCGGCAGGAGAGGTCTGAGCGCCATGTGGGACCCTCCTCCAGTGGCCGGGGAGCAGCCGGGGATCGAACCGGCGCTGTAGAGGCTGCGGGCAGCTTCGCAACCCAGCGCTCAACCGCTGCGCCACCGGGGAGGCCCTAACCCTATCTTTTTTACATAGTTTATTGAGAATGGATCGCTATTTCAGGCGATGATGAGGAAAATGCCAAGAAAACCGAAATGGTGATTTCGGCACTCCAGGGGGAGTAGGGTGCTTCCTGGCTCCCCACCCTCTTCTGTCTGAGATCATTCCCAGAGTCATTGATGTACTGTCCTTCTGGAAACATCAGACTGTACCCACCCCTTTCTAAGACCTTCTATTGATACTTTTCTAGGAAGAGGAAGTAGTTTCTGTTTTTCTCAGAAACAGACTGTTTCTCATTCAAAGCTCCCTTCCCTCGGGGTGTACTTTCTTGCTGCCTTTTAACATCTGCAGGAGGGAACAAGATCTAGAAAGAGGAGAATGGGCTGAAGCAGGATGCCTGAACTCAATTGGTAGCCCATCTAATCAATCATTTCTGCGTGTAGTGTGTCTGGGATGATCAAAACAGATGGGAGACAGTTGCTGTAGAGGACCTTGATTTTGGGAGGAGTCTTGGGACTGATAAGAGGGCTACCCTACCATTCAGTTAGAATAAGAGTGGACTTTTTGCACCTCCATGGCCTGAGTTCTATCCCCGTCCAGGGGGCTACCCACATGGTGCAGGAGACCTCTCCTGACTCGCCTGCTGCTCCCCTCAGCAGTGTATTTCAGTGGATCTGCCTGCTCTGCTTCCCATCTGTCTCTGGTAAGGCCTCTTACCCTCCTGCCCCGCACTTCTGGCCTGAGCCCCAATTCTTCTATGCAAAATTTTTTTTTAAAAAAAAGAGTGGGCTTTTTGTTGTAAAAGGACTTGTCTTGAGAAGATCCAATAGCTTCCTTGTGAGAGAGTATAGTATGGTGGTTAACGCCTGAACACTTGAGTTTCAACCTCTGTATCAGTTTAGTCTATAAAACGGAGTAGTAGCAATACCTCCCTCATAGGCTAGGACTGCACTCACCAGTGTGCCTGATATCCTAAAACTTCACCCAACCCCATAGTGTGGACTTCACCCAACCCCACAGTGTGGGTGGAGCAATTTATACTAAGCTCATGTGTAATATTGTTATTTACTGACCACCCTCTGAGAGCAACTGGGTGCCAGAGATTTAACCACTTCTGCGCTGCAGTTGCCCAGTCAATCTTCCCAGCCAAGATGGGAAATTGACGCTGCTCTGTAGAAAGGAGGCCAAGGCAATCACGAAATATTAAAGTAAAAAGTAGAAGGGGTGATGGTTAATGCATGGTTATTAACCAGAGAATGGTTATTAACAAAGGGCCGTGAGCAAGTGGAAACTGATTGAAGATGGGGCCTCCCTGGGGGTGCAAGGGGTTAAGATGCAACCTATGCCCCTCTGCAGCACGAGTTCGATCCCCTGGCCAGCCAGGGAGCAACCCACATGGAGCAGCAGACCTCTCCTGACTCGCCCGCTGCTCCCCTCAGCAGAGTACTTCGGTCAATCTGCCTGTTCTGTGCCCCGCGCTGTCTCTGGTGAATCTTCTTACCCCCACCCCCGACACCTGTGGCCTGTACCGCAGCTCTTGTATGCATAAATAAATAAATCTTAAAAAAAAAAAAAAAAGAAATTGATCGAAGTTGACCAAGCAGGAGCTTGTCTGTGCAGTAGTGCATCAGTCAGGCACCACAGAATAATAGGGACAATACCCGCCCCCCCAAGCATTGAGAGGACCTCAGAGTGATCAGGCATCAGAAGTGGGGGTGGATTCAGAGCTGCACTCACGTTACTGAAGCACTGAGCGGCCTTAGCGAACTCCCCGCACAGATAGAGCCGCTCGCCCTCCGTCATGTAAGAGGGAAAGGTGCTTCGCAGGCCTTCGGTTTCTGCGTCTGACATGGTGGCGGGATTCGGAGCTGCTGGAGCTGTGAACGGGAGGAAAAGAAGCCGGAGAACATCTGTTTGGCTTGTGGAAGCCCCGTCTCTTAGCAACGAGGGACTCAAGTTACTTCCGGCCCCGCCCCTCACCGGGGCCCGAGTCCCCGGTGCAGCCACCGCTGCCTGCGGCGCGAGTGCGCATGCGCCAGTCGGCCGCGCACTCGGCCGGGGAGTGACCAGCACGTGGACAGCGGCTGCTTGGCCCCCGCACTGCGCGCTTTGCTGTGGCACGCTCCCTCCGTGCTCTCCAGAGTTGCCTTGTGTCCAGAATTTACAGCCAGGAAAACAGGAAGGTATTTAGGGGCAGCACTCCAATAAGGATTGGGCGTACGTGGCAAGGATGTGCATGACTTGTTGCTGTCGCTGGGCTTGGAGTCACTGTGACCAGCTTGACCCTGCTCCGGGCACATCAGGGCTCGGAGCCTTAATTTTTTCGCCAAGTAAACGGGAAGATAATGAAACCTTCAGGGTGTGAGGATTTGCGTGAGATTACGTGGAGAATAATGGGGTTCAGTTTAACCCATTTGTTATTGCAGTATCAGCTGCAGGCTTTGACAAAGGGCTTGCCTGGCTTTCTTCTTCATTCACTCGCAGTCCCTCCCTCCAAATAAAGGTGGATGAGGTTCTTCTAGGTCCCAACAAATACCTTGTCTTTACTGCATTTAAAATGTCAACTCCTGGACCTCCCAGGTGGCGCAAGGAGTGAAGTGTCAGCACTAGGAGACTGCCCACAGCCACTGCAGCAGGAGTTCGAGCCCTGGCCGGGGACCTGGCCCACACGGCGTTCTGTTTCTCACTCTGTCTCTAGTGAATCCTCTCACCCCCACACCTCTGGCCTGTACCCCAATTCTTGTATGTATAAATAAATAAATCTTTAAAAAATAAAAAAGAATGTCAACACCCAAAGCTAAGGGGATTGTGACCTGCACAAAGGCAAAGTCCTTAACCTTGTATTTCCAGAATTCAAGTGTCTGGCATGTAGTAAGAGTTAAATAAGTCATTGTGAAAGTTTAAATACAAAAAACATGTCCTTAACTACATTCACATTACACACAAATGTGTGCTTGTAAAACTGGGGAAATTTAAATAAGATCAATGGATTGTATCAGTGTTAGTTTTCTGGTTGGTCTATCATCCTAAAGTTGCCCCCACACACACCCACACACACAATTGGGGGAAACTAGGTATTTCTTACAGCTCACATCAATCTATGGTTATCTCAAACTTTTTTTTTTTTTTTTTTGCTTAGAAGAACTGGGATGTAGGCCAGAGGTGTGGGGGGGTGAGAGGATTCACCAGACAGAATGGAGAGCAGAACAGGTAGATCTATTGAAACACACTGTTAAGGGGAGTAGCAGGTGAGACAGGAGAGGTCTGCTGCTCCATAGGTGGGTTAGCTCCTTAGCAGGGGATCTCACTTAGATCTGAACTCTCTTAGAAGTTAAAGCTCTCGGAGAAGATGGCCTCCATCCCCTGGCAAGCTGCTTGTTGGCATAACTTCTCTTTATTTTATGCATAGTCGAACACCATCTCCCCTGATAAAGTGTAAGCTATACACAGGAGTGAGCATCTTTCTTTCCTTCACTGTTGTTGCCCCAGCGCCCTGGCACATTGCAGGTATTCATCAAGTCTGTATAGAATGCACACGTATAAAATGAAAGGAGAACCTCCCTGGTGGCGCAAGGGGTTGAGACGCAACCTATGAAAGAGTCCGCAGCCTCTGCAGCATGAGTTGCTCCCGGGCCAGCCAGGGAGCATCCCACATGGCGCAGCAGACCTCTCCTGACTCGCTGCTCCTCCCCCCAGCAGTGAGTTTCAGTCAGTCTGCCTGTTCTGTTCCCCACTCTGTCTCTGGTGAATCCTCTCACCCCCCACACCTCTGGTCTGTACCCAGTTCTTGTATAGATAAATAAATAAATAAATAAATCTTTAAAAAAAAAAAAAAAGACTGTGCTCAGAAAACATCTACAGACAACATCTGGGACTGGAATATATGAAAAAAAAAAAAAGAATCAAAGTCTTAATTTTGAGTTGCAATCTTAATTGAGTTGAAGTAAAAGGAAAGACCATATGCATAACTGTATCAAGATTTGATACACATTTCATCACCTACAAATGGCCATTAATGCTGGAAAAGATTACCAAAAGGACAAAAAGATACTACACTAAAGTATTGTCTGAGTTTATTTATCATAACACAAGTAGAACCAGGTTCTAGGGAAATCTGGCAGTCTCCTGAAAGTCTTCTGCTCAACTCCCTCGAAGGGAGTTGACAAATTGGCCTGTCCTGTCACCTGTTTTTTTTTGTCTGACTTTAAGGTGATGTTTACATTTTTAGATGGCTGGAGAAAAAAATCAAAAGAATTCATGAGATATGAACTATAAGTTTTAAGAAATCATGTTAAATCATTATGAGAAATCATCAACCAGACTCTAGCTTCTCCAGGAATATTATACAGAATGATTTTAAATAGGCATTAAACAGGTATTCTCTCAAGTGAGTTAAAATCCATTTTATTTCTAAACAAACCTATGTGACATGTTTTTTTCCCCCTTAAAAATAATGCCTCTATTCCAAATAAACCAAGGTCAAAATAAACAGAGCCCAGGATGACTTCAGTTTCATTTGTCTGACTGGTATTGTGTAGATGAAAAGCAGCAGGCAGTTATGATGACACATGATAGAGCCCAAAGTAATTGCCAAATTTGTCAGCATTTTCTCATTTCTAAACCCTCCTTAAAGAAAACTATGTACAGGGTCACACTGTCCAGCAGGGCAACCATACTATCCGGATTCATGATTTTACTAATGAAAAACTGGTTATTTTTGAAATTAGCAAGAATGATTTGTTTGGCAGCATCTGTCCTAAAAAGTTTTACTCTTTCTAGTCTCTGTTCTTCAAGTTTGCTGTTAATTGATTTCACATGATTTTTGATACACATCTTGTAGGCTTCTTGCAAAGCTAGCTTCCCGCAAGTGATGGTTCATGTCAGTATCAACACTAGTAGTTACTGTGCTTTTGGGACTTTCAGTGGAGGCATTTCTACCAGTGAGGAGTCATCAGTGATGGTCTCTGTCCTCCTAACTATCTTCCCTTCCAACTGCAGGTACAGCCCATCCAACTGGATCTTGTATCTGTCAGAGAACTACTCATCCTAGCTGCTGAGGTCCTGCTGTAGCTAATCATGATGGCAGCTGGACTCACTTGGAGGGATGGTGAAGGGGTACAGGGTGGTACTGGGGCAGAGCAGGGGGTGATAGTGGTAGGGGTTAGGTAGCAGGCTGCTAAAAACTAAACTCTTAAGACTGGTGTCAGGGTAGAAACTTTGGCCCAGAGGGAGCCTGGCAACTTTTATTTATACACCATGACCTCTGCTTCTGCCTGCCCTTGAAAGATTCCCTAACACAGAACATGGTAGTGAGAGGCAAGAGGCAAAAATAATGAACTCAGTCAGAGATAAAGTTAAGTATGTCAAGTAAAAGTCAAGGGTAAGTGATCTGTATATGGGGGGAGCTGTGCAGATGCTATCTTAGGACAGGAAGTAGCAAACTGCCTTTCTAAGGGAAGGCTTCCTGCAAGAGGAGGGAATTTCACGGGAACACACCTGGTAGGAGGTGGCAGCTGCAGTTTTTAAGACAGGGTGAGAGTAGAGTCTGGGTTGACTCTGGGGAGAGCCCAGCAGGAGCTGGTTGGTCTGGTTGCAGAATCTTTTCTAAGCACATATGCTGGCTCTGACCACACCTCCCTGGAGGGCTTCTTTGGCACACACAGGCACGTGGGTCCTTGGCATCAACTGGAGACTGGTTCAGTGTTGGCAGGAAATGAGTGTCAAAGGAATGAGAAGTCCTCTGGTTCTTCGCAGGCTGGGTCATGATGGGCCTCTGTTGTAAGCCCCTGTCTCTGGCTGCTGCAAGGAGAGATGTGGGTTTAGAACTACACACTCAGGTAAGACCCTTCTGGCTATATCACCCCTTCCCCCCCAACCTTTCCCCTATAATTTCTTTCATTCATATGTACATTGCAGTGTTTATCCAGTCGTGAATACAACAAGAGCCTAACGTGTACCTAGTCCCCCACTTGGCACTGGGGATGCCAAAATAAATAAACAAGGTCACTTTTTGTCTTGAAGCATTCACGGTTAGGTGAGGGAGACACATGACACATGATTTTCTTTCCTTTCTCACCTGCCGTAAGTTGTAGTGGACAAGACAAAGGATGTGGCAAAAAGCAAAAGAGTTTGTTTTTTTTTTTTTTTTTTTTTATAGAGGCATGTTTTCTTTCTTTCTTTCTTTATTTGTTTGTTTTTGTTTATACATGCACTGGGTACAGTCAGAAGCGCGGGAGGGTGAGAGAATTCACCAGAGCCAGAGCGGGGAGCAGAGCAGGCAGAAGGACCGAAGTACACTGCTGAGGGGAGCAGCGGGCGGCAGGAGAGGTCTGCGCGCCATGTGGGACCCTCCTCCGGTGGCCGGGGAGCAGCCGGGGATCGAACCGGCGCCACAGAGGCTGCGGGCAGCTTCGCAAGCCAGCGCTCAACCGCTGCGCCACCGGGGAGGCCCAAGAGTTTGTTTTTTTTTTAAAGATTTATTTATTTATTTATTTATTTATTTATTCAAGCACTGGGTACAGTCAGAAGCGCAGGAGGGTGAGAGATTTCACCAGAGCCAGAGCGGGGAACAGAACAGGCAGACTGACGAAATACACTGCTGAGGGGAGCAGTGGGCGTGGCAGAAGAGGTCTGTCGAGCCATGTGGGACCCTCGCGTGGCTGGGAATCGAACCGGCGCTGCAGAGGCTGTGGGCAGCTGGGCAGCTGGGCAGCTTCGCAGCCCAGTACTCAACCGCTGCGCCACCAGGGGAGGCCCAAGTGAAAGAGTTTTTTTTAAATCAGGGAACAGAAAAATGAGAAGTGGGACCAAGATTGATTAATTTGGGGCAAAGGAGCTTCAGTGGGGGCAGAATGGATTTAAAAGGGTATTAAATTAAGAACGAGAGAGCATTCCCTGTGGAGGTTGGAGCTGGGGATCTGGACCACAGAGAGAACCAAAAAA